GTCTCGGTGGGGCTCTCCCCAGGTGGAATAATATTAGAGCGAAACCGCTGCCGATACGTCTCCGGGGAAATGTCAAATTTAACTAACAAGGCAGCTTTTAAATCCTCATAACAGTGGGCTCTTTCTTCATCCATTGCGGTATAGGCCTCCAACGCCTTCCCCGCTAGCAACGGAACTAGCCGACAGGCCCATTCATTCTCCGGCCATCTCCAGGTTCTGGCCACCCGCTCAAAGCGCAACAAATAGTTCTCAATATCTTCCCCCATCTGGTACGGTGGAATCTTTGGCCCCTCCGATCTCCTCCACTCTCCGCCCGTCTGGTCGAGGCTGCTTGTCGTTGCCAGGGACTGGCGAGCCGGTTCCTCCAGTAACGACGGCCGGTATTCTCGCTGCCGGGCCGGGGTAGGCAGCACCATCCTGGGGCTACTCGCTGTTACCGTGCTCGGTGTAGCCGTAGCGGCCGTAGTGCTAGCTCCCGCTAACACTTGCCCTGAGCTCTGCTGACTAGCTGAATCCGCCGGCAACAGCGCATTAGGAGAGGGAACGGTCCTCAGCCCCCTGAGTTCTGCCAATAACACCGTCTCTCTCCTTTGCTGTCCCGCCAGGAAGTCCCTCATCATCGCAATCAGTTCTCCATCACGTGCTGCGGTCGAGGTTGTAGGCAACTCCGGACCAATCCTGCCGGAAATCTCCTCCGCCTCTGCTGAAGAAGACGACGCCGGCACTGTGTCCCACGCCAGCTCCTCTGCTGTCTTCTCCCCCGGAAGCTCATGCTGCTGGGACCGCAGCCCTGTGCGCTTCGCTGGGAGGCGCGTTTTCCTCTTCCGACTAGCCATCCCACTCCTGACACCATATGTCACGGGGTCCCCTTCCAGACCTCTCCCGGACAAACACAGGCGTAGTCGGTAAGGTATTAGTGTGGATACTTTATTTGAAACGGCCTCCCCAGTGCATAAAAAGATGGTTGCAAAGACATAAAACTGAGAGCCACGCTACACAGCCTGTATGTTACAACACACACCCCCCTTCATATCCGGCTCGCCGTCTCTTATATCCCGTAACCCCTCCCCCTTGGCGTCACCACCAATTCTTTATTCTAACTTTAATCCCCGTCTCCCTCCCCCAGAATTTCTTTTTCATTATACACTCACAAAACATATACATTGATACAGGCTCTCAACTATTTCCCGGAAGTCTACCCGACTTCATATACACATTAACGGCCCACGTAATGAGGCCATTCTCATGACGGTCCAGACACACGTGAACTCATTATTTAAACCCCACACCCCCATACCATCGGCTTGCGTCACCCTGCACGATTGGCGATCCCCCCGCACGTCTCCCCGACCGACGCCCTTAACAAGTAAGTGGGAACCAAAATCTAGCCACCCCCGATGCGGCTCACAACTTGCTCCTCACCCCTTTTATTCCTCTACTCGGTCGTCAGAAAGATACGCCGCCCCGGGTGCCAAATCGAACTAATGGTGGCGACCTAATGGTGGCGGTGCCATACTCAGCGGACTCTGCCTTGAGACGGGTCACTCCGTCACACAGAACTTTTCTTTTTAGTAGTTCTCCTAGTGGCAAATAAGCAGGTCTGTGGTGCCCCTCCCCTGTGTGTACACACACTGATACAAATCAAATCAAAAGCCACATACAGCAGTATACACTGGCTTATTTTTCAAATCTGGACCAAAAATAAATTGCCTTCACTTCTAGCAAAAGCTTAACTTCCTCTTTCACTGTTAAAATCAAATCAAAATGTTTTTTATTTAGCTAATTTGAGCCAAATTGATTTCTGTTTTCAATTACAAATGAAAGAGGTGGTTAAAACAATAAACAATCAAACAGTTCTTCGCAGAAAAACAAAAATCCATCTCATATTCTCTAGATCTGTTTTTCTTGGCTAACCTGGGAACACTTCAATAACTCCGGGATGTGCTTCGAATTAGTTCAGCAGTGATGATTAAAATTTTAAAAGGCGACGAGTCAGTTTCGCTTTCAGTCTCGTCCATTTTGTTTCTCTCAAACGACTGCAAACCGTAGTGAGCATAGGGTAAGATTATCGTTTTATCAGATAGAAAACCTTCCTAATCCCTTATCAAACCTTTGTCAGTGTGTTGTTCAACCCGATGAAGCGAATCCACACATTTAATTGAAGGTGTTCATTCTGTTTGTCTCATTAATGGTGTTTCTAGCACCATCGTCATTTTTTTCTTCTTCTTCTTTATCCAGATACCTGTAGTGTCAGAAGATTGGTGAATACAAAATAGTTGGAGATTACTTAAAGATTTCTAAGGAGCTTATTGGTTGTTTCTTACTAAATCCAGGCGTTTTAGAAGAAGAAAGTGTGTACATTATTGTACTTTATTGAGCCCCGTGGGGAAATTGCTCTCTGCATTTAACCCATTCACATACTTTAATTGTACACTGGAGAAGTCACTTGTTACAGCAGCACAAGACACAGGAAGCAAAGGTAAACTCGAGATCTATTAGGGAAAAAATAAGAAAAACGGTGTTTAAAAAAACAAAAAGATGCCAAAAATGTCCTTTTTCTAGTCAAATCTTAGCCTTTACTAATGAGAAAACTCTAAACTAGAACAACTCAAACAGAAAAAGGTTTAGACTACTTAATGTTGTAATAAACAAGCCCGAAAATGTCATATAACATTTAAAGTCTTTCAGCATAGCAGTGTAAAGATTGATCGACAGCATAAAAACGTGAATTGTGGAGTACAGATCCCTCTGTTAGAGATGTGTTGACAGCAGTAAAAGTTTCCCTCCACACAAATCATAAATAAACTAAATCATGTTTAAACACAGCAACAAGTGTTCAAGAACATTTGGCCCTACTGCGTTTCCCTGCTTTTTATGTTTACGGAGTCTTAATTTCCCAGCCTCTTATGTTGGTTAGCAAATGTTAACATTTAAAATTTGAAATTCATGTGGCTTGCACAAATGCTTAGTGATATGTACTATTACTAAAACAAAACTGATGACCGTTGTACTAAGGCATTGTGATATAACCGGTATATGAAGTATATGTATTTCTGGTATAATCCATAAACATGACTTCCTGCTGTGAACACATTTAGTAATGACCTCTGTTTAAAAGTTAAAGTAAAAATAATCATCTTTCACTGCCTCTGCATTTTTATATGTCAGATTTAATTTACCCACTCCTACACCATCTGCCTCCACACACTCTTAACAAGCTAATGGGTGTCCCACTAACTTTGAACAACCAAGAGAAGCTTCTTCCAAATGAGAGGATACTGAGGTGTATTTTTTTAAAATGTATATGTGCACAGCAATGTTCCTGTGGTTTATTTATTTACAGTGTGTACTGTCGGGGAAAAATAGGACAGCTTGAGGTTTGAGTCTAAGAATTTTGAGATTAGTTTTGAAAACACTCGACCTTTACACTGGTCTAAACATGCTGTTTATAGCTGGGTATCTTCTTTTTCCTGCTCTAGGTCGATGCGATGTTATTGACAGTTGATAATATAATATGGTCATGAGGTAAACGGCTCTGATTGTTTTCAGAGGGCAGCTGATTTAAAGATAAGGAGAAAAGAGTCAAACAGATTATTTTAGTTCAGGGCAGATAAACATGTGGGCTGGGGGTCAGAGCTGGACCACCAAAGTCCAAAGTGTCCCCTTTGACCCCCAGAATAGCTGGAAATTGATGACATGCACAGTATTTCTAGGTTTTGTTTTCTTTCCACTGTGATCTGTAAATTATAGCAAACATGAAAGGATAATTGAGTGACATCTCAGGTTATTCATATTCTTTTTTGCATATTGATTGTGCTTTAAATAAGAAAGATAATTGAATAGTTACACTTTGTTTATAAAAAATGAGGTAAAAGGTGTGTTTCATCTGAGCTTCCAGGTTCAGCGTTTTTAAAATCTTGGCTAATCAGAAGTTTTTATGCATCTCGGGGTTTAGATCGAGGATGGTTTTGAAGCTACTTTCTTTTATGAGACAGTTTAGAATCTCTAGGTTCAAAATATCCATAAATGATAAGGCTGTTGTTATTTGAAGATATAACGATGAACTGTTTTATACAGAAATAAGCTTAAATGCCTTTTGTTTATAAAGCTGAACCGCTGCTGGAAATGATCTGTATTAATCTAAAGGGGCACTTAAAGCGTCTCACATGAGGAGATACAATTTGCAGAATGAAATCGATCATGCACTCATTTAATCTGCTGTATTTATGTAGGAGCACTCTGCTCAGTCAAGTGTCTACAAAAGACTGTGGACTATTTTTACTTAATATACAGAAGATCGATATGAAGAGGTGTCCTGGTTTATTGTTGTTAATATTAAAAGACATCCCAGTGTGTCATTAGTCTTGTAGCTAGCCAGTCCCCTAATATTTGAACAGTTCAGAAAACCTTCTGATTTATACTAAGTTAGTTTCTTGTACATTAAGCTGTGTTCAAATGCCATTTAACATTCATGCTAGCTGGGCCAAACCTGTAAAATAAATAACAATAAATAAGCTTTTGCAGGATGCAAAGACGCTAATGTCTTGAGACTGTAGGTTCAGAGATTTGATCGAAGAGTGCTGGACTGCATCAAACTGGAGGAAACAAGATTGTTCTCTCACATAAAAAATAAAATTGCCTCTGGTGCCTGATGATGCTGAGGTTGGCTGATTGCCTCTCATCCCTTTCTCTCCCTGGTGATTTCCTTTTAATTGATTTATTTGTCTATTTTTATTTTTATTTTACATTCTGTTCTTGGTTTTTGTTTTTTGTTTTTTTTAAGTCTGTCAAGGTCTTGTACCCTCAGGATTGGATTGGGTGGTGGGGAAGTAGAGATGGTTATGCAAGGGGTAAATGTTAAAAATGAAGTTTCTGTTTAAAATCTTAGTTGATAGATAGATAGGCAGGAGAGAGGATGTTACATTCACTCTGACACTTTCATTAGATTTTTATTTCGTGCATTATTGTGACCAGCATGTTGTTTCTCTTCATCTTTTCAGGGACTGAGATCCGGTTTGCCAGCTGAGTCTCCAACCATGATCTTTGCTACACCCACAAAGGTGGTGTCAGAAGCAGGGGCCACAGCGGAGTACATGGGAGCAAACAAGGTTCCCGACCTCCAGAAATTTTTCCAGGTAACGCAGAGCTCAGACTGAATAAGGCGCCAGTTTGACCAAGAAGCAGCGAGGGTTCACGACCTGCTAGCTTCATCAGTCGAAGCAGTGAAGGCTGATTAGTAGAAGTTAATAAGTGATATTTATTTCACAATTCTTAATGGCCCTTTGCCACTTCCAACCCCACCACCACCAGTAGCAACCACACAAGTTGCATTAATAGGAATAAGAGAGGCGAACTCTGAACAGAGCAATCACTCAAATAAGTGGAAATCACAGTATTGGCTGCTGAACGTGTTTTCTCTTTTAGATTAATTAACGAAATTGTTTAAGAGCGACACTAGTACAAAAGAGAAGAATAAAAAAATAAATCACCTTTCAAAGGAAGCTGATTAAATATTGATTGGAACTAAAACAACCATTTTAATTACAGCTTTAAATACATTATTTTTGCAGTCAAAAGTCTTCAGCGGTGAATTTTCAAAGTTTATACAAAAATACATTCAGTTAACTTGATATTTTAAGCTAGTATCAGACTACACAGTGTGTATATATAATATATATTAGTTTGTGTCATATTAGAGTCTCAAAAGAACACGTTTCACAACAATCAAACATGAAAAATGTAATTGGGATGTAAACTCTCATTGTCTTCAGGAAAAGGATGTAAATGGCTAATGGCAAAGGAAGCAACGGATCACAGTGGCGGTCTTGTTACTTAGTTTATAAGCTCCACCTAACTACACCATCAGCATCAGGCCTTCTTTATATTTGTACATGGCTAAAATAGCTGTGTGCATTTTGATCAAATTCAGAGGCAATAAATCCAAGTCTAACAGGCTTGTCTTTCAGATGCAGCTCCATTTTTCATCAGTGGCACGCATGATAAAATCAAATGTCAGGCTGCGATGGTGGCTGTAGCTCAGGAGGAAGAGCAGGTCGATTGATATTTGATATACATCTCCTCTGTCCAAAGTGTCCTCAAATCCCAGATTGCAACTGTGTTACAGTAATGCATAGAATAAAGTGCTGTATGGATGATTGGTTTAAAGGGGCTTATAGTGTAAAGCACTTTGAGTGCTCAACAAGCATAGAAAGTGCTATTTAAATACCAGTCCATTTGCAGTTCACCATCCATTTCTGTTCCCAACCTAAAGCACCCAAACCCGATGCACTGCATTGTCCGGGCTGAACCGTGATTGAGGTCATGTGTTTGCAGTTACATGCAATCTGTTTGCGATACTGCAGTGATGAACTGCAATCAATTTCCAATCTTCTGCTGTTTGCATGCACAGACATTCACATTAAGTATTTATATTCGGAGTCCAGACCGAATCTTATAGACTTGAAACAGAAATTCCTTCACAAATGGTGTCAAGAGTCAAGTCCTCTATCGCTAATAGATGCATTAGACAAGCTGCGTTCATCAGAGCAGGCTGATTCTGACTCGTTGGCAGTCTTTATAAATTAGCAGTGTTTTTTGCAAACCTTTGCCAATCTGTCTGTGAGTAATTGCAGTCAGACTGCAACTATTTGGAGACAGGCTGCCTGTAACCAGGTGACCTGTACCTTGCAGTGGAGAGTTTCTCTGAACTACCTGAGTCATATAGGTTATGTACTACTTTTACTCTGATGTAATTGAGTCATGTGACTGTAAAGATGATGACGACGCTCTGTATTTGCTGCGATTAACATCATAAATTAATTCAGATTTTCTTTTTTTCTTGCCCCTCCCTGTTTCCTCTTATTTCAGACGTCAGACGGTATCCCCGTTCATTTGAAGCGCGGTTATCCCGACAGGCTACTGTACCGCACCACTATGGCTCTCACTATAGGAGGCGTTGCCTACTGTCTGGTGGCGCTCTACATCGCAGCCCAGCCCAACAGAAAGTGACCAACACAACTGCCATCTTCCTTTCGCTGCTCCCGTTAACTACCATTCACAGCATTCATTTATCGGCCCTCGCTATACCAACTCTTGGGACTCTTCTTAGATGATCTTCATCAAGCCACTGAAAACTATTTTAATGTCTTTCTTCTTTGAAAGAAAAAAAAAAGATGTCTGATTTAATAAAATTTCAGGAAGAAAGAAGTTAAAAGATGCCATACTTGAAGTCTTTTTTTTCCATTAATCCTGTATCAGCTGGTGTCTCACTGGAACGTAAAGCCATCTATAGGCTAACGGGTCCGTCTTCTCTTTCAGAGAAAAAGCAAAGCTCTTTCTCACAGCTTTCAAATGGCTTGCCGTAGTGCGGCGATGTATGTGCGAGAGCGAGTGAGCACGATGGAGACACCCTGTGTGGAGCATAGCTGCTGCTCACTTGGCTTAAGTTCTGTCTCATACAGAATTTGTATGTGTGGGCCCTGGTGTGATGTCAGATGCTCCTCGCCAGCTCATCTGACAATCATCTCAGTGTCTGCCTTTTCTCTCTTGTCTTGATGTGTAGCGTATGTCTGGTTTTCTTTTACAGATACTTTTATTCAAGTTTTCAGAATCAAAGAGAGGAAAAGGTCTGATTTTTGACAGTAATGTGACATGCCATCTTATGCACCACCTCAGTTTTATCGCAGTTTCTTTCTTTACTCTGGTTATCATATGTTGATCTGACAAAAAAAACGATTTGCTGCTTGGGTACTGAAGTTATTTCCTTAGTATATCTCACATTATCAGCCTAAACAATGACCTAAGAATCTTAAAAAGAAAGGCCCCCTAACTCAAGGAATGAAACATTGTTTTGTTATAACTTGGCAAATACCCAATTTTAAATTGTCCTTAGATACTTTATTAGCAGCCTGTTGCAAAAACACATTTATTCCCATGTCTTTAGTTGAATTCAGCATAAAATGGTGTGCTTGCATCAATGAGTTAAAAGGGCTGTGAGCTGAAAAGAAATATCCGATTATATCTCAGCCTCGTGTGCAATGTGTCATTTAAAAAAAAAAAAAACAGAAGAAGCTGAACAAGTGGAGGTCAAGACCCTTGAAAATAGAAGGAAAAAAAAATCCTGCAAAGATGTGACACAGGACCTGAGAAATGTACCTGGTCCATCTACTGTTCACTGAATCCTTGTCTGAAATGGTGTTAAGGATGAGAAATGGGGAGAAAAGGCTGAAACATGCCAAATTACACAAGAACTGAACTGAAACTCAGTGGTAGCAGCTCTTATGGAGTGATAAATCCATTTGACATTTTTGGTTCAAATTATCAGTATGAATAGAGGAGGCCAGGAAAGGGTTAAAACGGCAACTATTTCCCATTTTACTAGCAAAAACTTGAAGAAAACAATGGGTGGCTCAGGACTTTTGCACGGTACTGTATTTTAAAAATATTGGTGATTTTAAAAAAAATGTGGGGGGAGGAAGCAGAACTAGCATGATCATCTCTGGATGCCACCATAGAAGCCCCACCCATCTGTTATTCAAACCTTGTGTTTACAAAGGACGGCCAATCAGAAGAAAGCTGCCTTAAACAGAGAGAGAGGGTTTGTTTCAGACAGGATGAACTGAAGGGCTGCATCAAGTATAAGAAAAATGAGGATTATTTTGTATTGTAACTCACGAAAAGCTATTCTACCAAAGCAGCATATTTGTTTCCTTTTAAACAATCAAACTGTGTCTACTACAGTGCTTCAGTAAATGTATTGGATTTCTGTACAGGTGTGCACACACAAGCTGGTTAATTATCCCAAACACCAGAACGAGAGGAAATGAGTTGTCACTGACGGTGCTGGTAGTGCCAGATGGTTTGAGTTTCTCTGAAACTACCAATCTCCCAGGATTTGCTGGCATGGGTTTTACTTCTTTTTTTTTTTTTCTTCTTTTTTTTTGTTAAATGCTGTCCCTTGATGACCAATTGGAGCTGACAGAAAGTAGACGCTAACTTTGGTGAGCAGAAAAGTATCTCAAAATGAAAATTGTGTTCAGCGGCAGAAGGCCGTGCTGGGCTCCCCTCCTGTCAGCCGCAAAGACAAATGTGAGGCTGCAGTGGGCACAGGCACACCGTGGTAACCAAAGCATTAGACATCTCAGAGAAATGATGCGGTAGAGTGAAGCAATATCTCCTCTTAATCCATGCCACCAAGAAGTGAAGCAGCTCGAATTGCAATGGAAGGCACGGTGTGTTCCTAATAAGGTGCTCAGTTACTGTGCATATAAGATTTTATATACAGATCCTATTTTGCTCTTGAGATGAATACAGTTTTTCCATTATATTTTTTTATAATTGAAGTTGCAGTTCAGTAGTTTTTAGGAGTGTTTGTCTGCAGCCATATCTATGTGATGGCTTTTCCCACTGGCAGGCAAAAGCAATTTAAAGTTTATCGAAACTTATTTCTCTAGCAGTCTTTGTCATTGTGAATAAAATCAAGAAATAAAATCAAGCCAAAAATCTGGGAAAAAATCCTCCATCCTTTTGGATTCCAGCAGACTTTTGCTTCTTGTTTCCGAAAACCAATATCATTTGGCATTATTAGCCTGTCTGTTTTTATATATTTTATACCAAATAAAAATTTCCATCAGAATTATATTCCTTTCCAGTCTCAATGATGTAATCCCTGATCTTGAGACATCAGAGGAAGTCTTTCTCTTCCAAGAATGTAAGTGCAGTGAAAGTGTTTAAAAACCGCAAGCCATTATCATCCGCTATAGTGCAGTAAGCTGTTATGACTTGATGTGCCTTTTCCCTCTGATTGTGTAGCAAGAGTTGGGGTTCACATTATGCTTGTGAGGCTGCACTCCCACAGCTTGTAGCCTCCTCCAGATTTTTTTTCCTCTGCTTTTAAAGAAAACGTGGCTATTTCAGCCCAGAGTGATCAAGGCCACCTGACCTCAATCTGTTCAGTTTTTGTGGTTTGTCACTGCCGAAGAGAAAAGCAGAATCAGATTGAAGTGAATATATCTGATATCCAGACCATCGCCGAAGATAACGGGATACCAAGTGTAAGCTAATGTCTGATTGCAACTAGTGATTAAAGTAGACTTAATTGGCTCATTTCCAGCTTCAAATTTTTAATTTTTGGACCCAGCAGCTTTGCATAATTTACAGCATTAAATGTGCTTTAGTGAAGGTCCTCAGTTCATGCTCTGCTCTTTTCCTTTTAACGCCACCTTCACTTTAAGCCAAATTTCTTCTGGCAGGCAGCTCCTCACAACTCACAAACAGGTTTTAACAGTTCTCGCTGACCTCATCAAGAGCCAAGGACTTAAAAAAAATATTCTGAAACAGCATTTATAACCATTGAAAGTTTGATGTTTTAGCTCCCATGCACTTGTACATGAGCTCTTTTTGTTTTTCTTTATACCTCTCCCATGTTTGATATGAGCACCCAGTATTGTAACAGTATATATATACAGGGCTTGACAAATTTATTAGACCAGCACTCAATGTAGGGTTGTGTAGTGGTCTAATATTGTGTAAATACATCATCATCATGTTCACAGGAGCATTAATTTAGTAGTAAATTTTAAAAAAAAATTATGTTTCTTTGAGGTTTAAGTTACCAGAATGCACAAGCTCTTTAATCAGAATGCAGAATGTCAGATATAGTTATTGTTGTTTTTCATGAGTTTTAAAATTCACTGTTTGGCAAAAAAGTAGAAATAAAATAGTGAAGCATGTTATTATTTTAGTGATTAAGATGCGAAATTACAGTTATTTACTTGCAATCCTGGACAGAAAAAATTGTTATAGTGGTTGAATGTTATGCTTGATTAATTTCTGGCTTTTTGTGGAAGTCAAGTGCGCTGGCTTTAATTTGTGTAAAAAATGTGAATTCAATTTAAAAATCCCTCCCTCCTGTTCAGAAAGGAACTCGCTAAAAAGGAAAGAATCTCTAAGACACAAAATGTTCTCACAGTGTGATCAAGTATGCCTTGTAGTCATCCACCGACACGGGTAATTACAAAATGTGCCGAAGAAGAGGCAAAAAATAAAAGCTGATCGTAACAGATGTGAGGAATCTCAAGATTTTAGGTACTAGAAACAGAAAGAAGGCCGCTGGGGATTGTCATGCAGAGATAACATGCTTCTAGATCTGTCTGAGACGTTATCCAGAATGAAAACAAGGAGACGATCGAACGAGCAAGACTTAAAGGAAAAAAAGCTGCTAAAAAGCCCTTATTGAGGACTGCAGAAATCCTGGGAGTGCAAACACTGAACTGGAAAAAGTTCAAATGAGTCCAAGATTGAACTCTTCACTCAGCATTGTTGCGCTTATGTCAGCAGAACAGCTGGAGACCGATTTGATGCTACATCCATTACACCCACAATGCAACAAAGTGGAGATCCCATTATGGCATGGAGTTCCATTTGTGGAGATGGTGTGGGCAAGTGAAAATCAACAGTATGATGAACAGGAAGGTGTACCAGAACAATCAGGACTGACACTGACTGGTTATGTGCTCATATAACAAGTAAGTAAAATGTATTTATAGAGCATTTTTCATAGATAAAAATCACCAAGTGCTTAACAATAAAACCAGAAATATAAATAAACTAAAATTATAAAACAATGAAAAAAATAATTAAAAGCTCATTTTTATAGAAATGTCTTCAGCTGCTTTTTAAAAGAGTCAGTGTAGTCTACACAACGTAAACACAACGGAAGAGAAATCCACAGCCTTGGTGCCAGTGCCTGAAAAGCCTGATCCCCACGTGTTTTGAACATAGTACATGGGACCAACAGTAACTTCTGACCTGAAGACCTAAGTGCTCGGGAAGAAGCCTGAGGTTTCAACAGGTCAGAGATATACTGGGGAGCTTTACCATGTAGAGCTCTAAAAGTTAAAACTAAAATGTTAAAATGAAACCAATGAAGAGAAGCCAAAACTGGAGTAATAAGTGATGTCTTGTTAGTGCCAGTTAAAAGTCTTGCCCCAGCATCCTGTACAGTATGAAGGCGATCCAAAGCTGATTTGTTGAAACAAGTAAAAAGACCATTACAATAATCCAAACCAGGAGAAATAAAAGCATGAATAATCATCTCAAGTTCTGCCTTTGACACCAGTAGTCTGAGTTTAGAAATGTTTCTTAGATGATAAAACCAGTTGGTAATGATGCCGAACATCCTTCAAAATGTGCAGAGACTCTGACCAAGAAAGAGGA